AGTTGCTCTGCCCCGGGCTTCCTGGAATCAGCTGCTGATCAGTTTCAGCAGCAGCTGACTTGGGGACGCCTGGGGTTCTTAAGTTGATTCTGTATGTAAGTCAGAACTGGCGGTCAGTTTCAGCAGTGTCTGAATCTGGACGCCAGTTCCGACTTACATACAGATTCAACTTAAGAACAAACCTACAGTCACTATCTTGTACGTAACCCGGGAACTGCCTGTACAACATATAATCAGTTCTTATAAATCCTAACCCCAGGAACCTAAAAACGCAGTTGTCCTTTTGTTCCAAACACCTTATTATAGGAACTTGCATGTGGTTCAAAATTTCAACCAATTCAATTGCTTTTTTAACTCAAAACTAAGGTCCCACAAGAAAACTAGGTTAAAGTAAACTCACAAGTATCAGAGGGGTAACCATAATAGTCTGTATTTGCAGACTGTTTGGCTGGAAATGGATGACGAAAGAGGGATCATGTGATGATTACCTGTTGTGTTCCTTTCCTCTGGGTTATCTCGTATTGGCCACTAGTCTGACCCAGTATGGCCGTTCTTATGTGCGTAAACAAAAACAACAAAGAGTCCCGTGGCACCTTAAAAACTAACAGATTTATTTAGGCATGAGCTTTCGTGTGCAAAAAACCACTTTATCAGTTGCAAACTGAAAGTAGAAAGTACAGGCAGTCCCCGGGTTACGTGGATCCGACTTACGTCGCATCCCTACATACAAATAGGGCTTTTCTCGCCGCAGAGGACATGGGCGGTGGGACCGCCGAGACGCGCCGCGGTCCCGCCGCCCGCGTCCTCCGTGGCGAGAAAAGCCACTCCGCGTCTCCCTGGTCTGCTGGGCCCCCCCCAGCTTGAGACACCTCAGCTTGAGAATAAAGGACTGAGGGAAGTGAGGTGTGGGAGAATAAAACTGAGCTCTGGAGAAATGTTTGGCTAGAGTATCCCCTACAATATATACCAGTTCCGACTTACATACACATTCAGCTTAAGAACAAACCTACAGTCCCTATCTTGTACGTAACCCGGGGGCTTCCTGTATAAAAAGAATTTGGCAAGAAAAGAAGAAAAAAACACTCTTCACATTGAAAACTGCCAATATAATGCATATTAGTTTTTGAGCTTTATTTTTTGTACACATTAAATGTGATTTTTTTAAAATACGTGCAATTAAACTAAATGTTGATCTCATGACCTTGTTTAGCATTTGTTTATTATTATCCTTACTTATTTGTGGTCTACTTTTTCAGCTCCCTATATGAGACTGTTATTAAGGGTTCCGCAAAATTCTTTTAAGTTTAAAAGGGTTGACTCCTTCCTGAAGTTCCTGTATGTTAAACGTCTATCCCGTTTGCTTCCCCCAGTTCCCAGGGCAGAATACATTATTTATAATTCAGTAGTAAACAACAGCCTCAGTTCTTGGTCTTGCTGACACTTCTTACTAAACCAGGGAAACAGTCAAATAATTTTAAAAGCAGGACTTGCTTAGGGAATTATTAATGGAATCTTTGCCAACATGAACATTCACCAATGCTCATATGGCACCACTGGTCAGTACTAAAGATGTTAAGTATTGTGTAATCGACTAATCAAATAGTCAATGCATTTTTGCATCGACTATGCGATTAGTCAGTAGGGCAGCACTGCCCCTTTGAAACGCAACCGTGATATGAATATTAATTTGAATTTGTTTGCCTCAGAAACCATGAACTTTGCATGTTGGAATTACTTTAAGTAAAAGTCTTTACAATTAAAAAATGAGAATTTTAAATAAGTGTGCATAAAGGCTGCCTTTTATGCTCCATGATCTAAACCAGGGGTGGGCAATAATTTTTAAAAGAGGGTCACTTCAGGGGACAGGACACGAGAGACTTTTTATACTCCCTGTACCAAGGCCCTGATTGGCCTGGGCGTGGGGAAGTGGCAGGGTGGTTGTGGGCCAGATCCACCGGCTTGACGGTGTCTGTGTCTGCTCTATCCTGAATTGTAAAGTACTCAGGTTAGGAAAGGACCATATTTTTCTTTGGTTGAAAAATTACAACATAATACAGTTACGGATAATCTTACTGATTATGTAAGGTGATGTACTGGGTGATGTAATCCAGTGATTCTCAACTTGCGGTTCTTGGATACCTGGCATTTGCACCTCCATTTGAAATTTTGTAAGACATCTGCAGATGAAAAAAAGTTTGAGAATAAGTGTTGTAATCCATCTCTGCACTTTACCTGAAGCATCTCTTTATTTAATATTCATTCATCTTCCTTTTCCTCACTATTGGATCTCTCTCTCTCTCTCTCAAAAAAAAGAATTTTCTCCTTGCTCTTCCAAATGTAAACTTATAGATTTTCTGATTTGTGTTCTAGGTGTGTTCATTGTTTCAGCCAAACGAACACCTTTTGGGGCTTTTGGAGGTCTGCTCAAGGATTTCACAGCCACTGACCTGACCGAATGTGCTGCACGTGCTGCATTGTCTGCTGGCAAAGTCTCCCCTGAGATTATTGACAGTGTCATTGTGGGTAATGTCATGCAGGTGGGTAGAATGGAATAACTTCTGGGAGCTAGCTATTGTTGATAACCTAGGCTACGTCTACATTGCGCTTTCTTGCGCAAAAATCCCCTCTTGCACAAGAGCCATTCTGCCGCTTATTTTTAGGCAGAACGGCTCTTGCACAAGAGGGGGGTTTTGCGTAAGAAGAAGCAATGTAGACTGCTCCTTCTTGCGCAAAAATCCCCTCTTGCACAAGAGCCATTCTGCCGCTTATTTTTAGGCAGAACGGCTCTTGCACAAGAGGGGGGTTTTGCGTAAGAAGAAGCAATGTAGACTGCTCCTTCTTGCGCAAAAGCCCCTTGCGCAAAAATGGTGGCACGTTACGTATGGAAATTAGGTGCTGCAATATTCATCGCTGTGCCTCATTTGCATATGTTCTTGCACAAGAAAGCACAATGTAGACATAGCCCTAATATATTTCTACGTATAAATGCATCTGTTCAAATGGGTGCTGTTGAATGAGCCAAAAATAAATCAAGTGGCCAGTAATATGTATGAAGTATTAATAACAGAGGGCATGTCTACACAGCAAAATTATTTCAAAATAACAACAGTTATTTCAAAATAACTTTCCTAGTGTCTACACAAGCCAACTGGCCACAAGGTAACTTCTGACCTGATACCCTGCCGGAACCAGTTCCAACTGGCCTTAAATGCGATCCAGCATCCAATGAGTGTGGATGCACTATTTCAAAATAGCATAAAGCTATTTCGAAATGCATTTTGTGTGTAGACGCGTTATTTCGAAATAACTATTTTGAAATTAGATATTTCGGAATCATGCTGTAGTATAGACATACCCTAAGTGAGTCCTTTTTACATTTAAGGGGCTGACCTTGTTTCCATTAACCTTTTTGGGACAAGGATAATTTAAGCAAGAGAAGCCTGTCTTTCTGTACACTGCTGTCTGATTAAAAAAGAGTTTGTGTTCTCATTGAATTTCAAGCTCCGGGGTAGACTGCTCCTCCGAACAATTCACAACTTTAGAGATAGAACTGAACATTATTTTCTTTTGGTTTTGGTTAATTGACTTTTCCTGGAGACCAAAGAACAGGTTGGGACTTATGATGCCAGAGAACCCTGGAAATTCTATAAAGAAATGCAAAATAACTATAATATCTTAGAGATATCACCAGAGAAGTTAGTAACCTGGATGGGTGGATGAAACTGAACAAACAAGTCCTTGCCCCCAAAGAATTTTCCATCTCAAGGCATAATTCCTTAGGATATGTCTACACTTGCCCCCTACTTCAAAGTACGGAGGCAAATGAAGCATACTGAAGTTGCAAATCAAGCCCAGGATTTAAATATCCCGCGCTTGATTTGCATGTTCCCGGCCGGTCGCCATTTTAGAAATTCACTATCCTGGAGTCCAATTTAAAGCCCTAACTCGAATTAGCTGGTATTCCTCCTGCAATGAGGACCCCTTAAACATAAAGGGTCTCTTTGAAATACATTTGGACACTTGTCTTCATGGGATTTGAGAAATGTCTTCCGAAGTAACAATATAAATGCTTCCTGTGGCTTCTAATTGAGAAGGAAACATGTCCTCCAGAACTAACATTTACCTGAGGTATTTGATATCCTATTCTGAGCTGGTCAAAACAGTTGTTTTCAACTAAATTAGCTGATATCAAATGCTGCTCTTTGTTGACTTTACAGAGCTCTTCAGATGCTATTTATATAGCAAGGCATGTTGGTTTGCGTGTGGGAATTCCTATCCCAGTTCCAGCCCTTACTGTCAACAGGCTCTGTGGTTCTGGTTTCCAGTCCATCGCCAATGGATGTCAGGTACAATACTTGTTCTCTATGAAGAACACTTTGGTGCTGTTTAGTTAATTATCTCTTGTGAGCATCCAAAAACCTACATCTTAAAGAGGAATTTGAAAATGCATTTGTAGTAAATGTTGGAGTGTCTTGCAGCTGAATATCAACTCTGTTTGCTGAACTTTCCATATTTATAGGGATTTCCCATTGAATCATAGGGTTGGAAAAGACCTCATCAAGTCCGACCCCCTGCTATAAGCAGGACCAGTCCCAACTAAATTATCCCAGTCAGGGTTTAGTTGGGACTTTAAAACCTGTAGGATGAAGATTGCACTATCTCCCTAGGTAACCCATTCTAGTGCTTCTCCACAGTCCTAGTGAAATCGTTTTTCCTAATATCCTACCTACACTTCCTCCATTGTAACTTGAGACCTTGCTTCTTGTTCTGAGAACAGGCTCTCTCCATCCTCTTTGGAACCCCCCTTCAGGTAGTTGAAGGCTGCTTTCAAATCCCCTCACTCTTTTCTTCTGTAGACTAAATAAGACCAGATCCTTCAAGCTCCTCATAAGTCATGTGCTCCTGTCCCCTAATCTTTGCCCTCTCCTGGACTTTCTCCAATGTGTCCACATCCTTTCTGTAATGGGGGGCTCAGAATTGGACATAATACTCGAGATGTGGCCTCATCTGTACTGAAAAAAGATGAATAATCTCTTCCCTAAATTTGCTGGCAGTGCGCCCACAAACGCACCCCAATATGTTCTGAATGCTGATCTTGCATACAAGAGTTCACCCTTCTAAAAACATTCATGTAATTAGTGTAAAAATTAATTAGGGCTAATTTGTTAGGACAAAAAAGGTACAACTTTAAAAAAAAAATAAGGATACTTAAAAACCGATGGGCATGGCCATCTGACAGATGCTCATGGGACTGAGGCTGCTGTGCTGTAAAGTTGGTGTGTAGACATTCAGGCTTGGACTGAAGCCCAAGTTCCAGGTTCTCAGGAGGGTGGGTAGATCTCAGAGTCTGGACTCCATCCAAGGCCAAACATCTGCATTGCAATTTTTACCCTTATGAGTCTGAATCAGTTGATGCAGTCTGCCTGTGGCCATGACAGTCTCTTACTTCAGTGTAGACATACTTTCAGTAAAGCTTCGCTGTGCTGCAGATGCACTCTGTTCTTTTCATTGTGGAGCCTTATCCTGCACCACTTGCAATATGCCTGGGGAAGTGCAGCTGGAGTGCTGCGGGTTGAGCAGCACTTCAAACAGGCAATGCAGCATTAATGTTAATTTTTGTAACGCGTTAATCCTGTCCTGCATTAATTGCAGGCATTAACGCAGGTCAATTGACAGCCCTATTGCTTTGCTGAATAGAAATGGATTTAAACATGTGCTTAAATCTCTGCTAAATAGAGACATAAATGATCATCCTCTTTCTGAAACCATTCAGAGTAGCTTGAGTATCTCAGCTGAGATAAAGGAGAGCTCTGTTGAGGGACAAAAGGGGGGGGGATCCTACTCTACTCCCAAGTGCAACAGCTGCTTTAACTTACTGTGGAAAAGCATTTAGGCCTTAATGCAACTCCCCCGCCTCTCAAGTAGAGTACTAGAGAATCTGTGCAACTGAGGATGCTTCATCCCTTTTCAGTTCCCAGACATGCCTAACTTGCTACAGTAAACTTCCAATAACCCGGCACCTTTATGACCCGGGGGTGCTGGATTATCAGATATGCTAGACTACCAGAAGGGGGGCTATGAGGGGTCTCGGGTGGCATCCCCCCCACCCCACCCCAGGCCCCTCATAGCCCCCCCTTCCGATAGTCAAGCATATCTGATAATCCAGCACCCCCTGGGTCCTAAAGGTGCCGAATTATTGGAAGTTTACTTAATATGATTGCTCAGATTTGCACAAAGGTGCTGCACAATTTAAAATACAATCCCAGTAATGCACTTTTTTGATGTTGAGCTAATAATAGTCTATACTGAATTTATATAAAAATAGTTTCAACTCTGACTGCTCACTATGTAATACAGTAGAACCAAAGTCATGAATACCTCAGGAATGAAGGTTGTTTGTAACTGAAATGTTCTTAACTTGGACCATCAGAAAGTTTTGTTTGTTCTTTAAAAAGTTTGTGGATGAACATTGACTTAATACAGCTTTGAAACATTGCTGTGCAGAAGAAAAAATGCTGCTTTTTAACCATCTTAATTTTTAATGAAAAAAGCACTGTTTCCCTACCTTGTCAATTTTTTTTTTTTAAATATTTCCTCTTGTTGAGTAGTTTACATTTAATAGAATATGAGGCCTGGCTTTACTTGTTTTATTTTTCTAGAAGTACTGCATGCCCAGTTTTCCAACTGCTCTAACTGAAGTTAGTGGCACTGCAAAGTGCTCAGCATATCTGAAAAATTATGTCCAGTATATTTAAAGCTAAGCATCCAAACTGGGGGGGCTACTTCTGAAAAATTTGGCTTTGATCTCTTTTTCTCTGTTATGCCCTCCTTTCAATAAAATTGTTGTAATACTATTTCCCTGACTGGAGAGTTGTGTCATTTTGTTAGTCTGTTAATTGTTTGAAAATTCTTGCCAGAAAATCAGTGCAGTATAAGCATGAATTATTTCTTAAGTTCTGCACCTAATTTGCTAATTGGCAAGGTATGTTACTGAAGCAATTGCTATCGTCTGACAAAGAAAATAAAATACCCTAAAACCTATACATGGTGCATCTATTTTTTAAATAGGAAATTTGCCTTAACGACTCAGAAGTGGTTCTTTGTGGTGGATCAGAAAGCATGAGCCAGGCGCCGTACATCGTCCGAAATATTCGATTTGGAACCAAATTGGGAACAGATATCAAGGTATGATCATGTGATTTTTGTTTTAATTAGGCCTCGTTTACAGAGCAGTTGAAAACAATGGACCATAGACAATGGTAACCAAAATTAATGTAGATTAGCTTGTAACCAAAATTAATGTGGATTAGCTTCATAGGGGTAGCTGAGTTAGTCTGTAACTTAAAAAAAACAATGAATAGTCTTGCAGGCACCTTAAAGACTAACAAAACATGTAAATGGTATCATGAGCTTTTGTGGACACAACCCACTTCTTCAGATGAATAGAGTTATTAAAGGTCAGGTTTCTAAATAAATAGGAGATTGGGGGGATAGAAGGAGGGGAAAGGGGGAAAAATTGACTATTTCTTTCCCCCTTTTTTTACTTCTTCCCCTTCCCCCCCCCTTCCATCCCTTCTTCTGAAGACAATAGGGTCATATAGCTGTAACTGACAGTATAATTTGGAGATAATGGAGCTATACATGTAGAATTAGAGATACAGTTTGATTCACAGAACCTTTATTATTAGTGTTTTGGACTGGGAGAGATCCATCTGAACTGTCAGAGTTTGTTATCGCTGCAAAGTTAACTTAGGGGCAACACCAGTGTTAAAACCTAGGTTGATCTCCTCCTTCTACACAGACCATTAATTCCAGTATGGTGGAACTTTTAACTCAAATTGTCTGGCCCAAGAGGAGGAATAAACTTAGACTACATCCAGCCTATAGATTGGTCGTGTTAGCAGCATTCACTTGAGTTTAACACCACTCAGGTCTTCCCATTGCATTCCCACAATCCCTCCATAAGTCCAGAAAGGACAGATGTTTTCTCCCAGGCTTTTCTGGTAAAGAATTCTTAGAGTAGCATAGATTCGTTCAGCCCTAAAACCCATTAGAGGTGTTCCCAGAAGTCTTAAAGGCACACATGAATGAGAACCACAATAGAGTGAATGCAGCAACCGAAGTATTGCTTTATAGGGTGATGGTTTTTTTCTTACTCCAGAGATGACACCGGTGTGTAGATAACTCTGCAGTGAAGATATATCTGCTGAGCCCTGGCTGAGAATTTAAAGACTGGCAGTGCACTTACATACATTTGATTTGGAAATTGTCGAAAGACAAACACCACAATTTTTCCCAGATCAATTTTGATGGTAGAACTGTACTTTTTGCTTTGTGGCATTGTTGATTTCACCAGTTTCTTTTGTGTACATTGTCACAGTTCTTTAGTTTTGTAGTCCATTCCACAGAAGTAGTTTTCACACTTATCACTTTTTACCTGCTTCAGATAGTTTTAAAATAGAATTAGATACCAAGATATTTTTAATGTTAACTTCTAAAGCACTGGTGACTATCTTGTTAAGGTACTAATACTGTAATATTGATTCTGTATAAGACTTTCTGTTTAATAATGTTTCTGGCAGATGGAGGACTCTTTATGGGCAGGGCTAACAGACCAACACATTAATACTCCAATGGCAATTACTGCTGAAAATCTGGCTGCACAGTATAACATTACAAGAGAGGACTGTGACCGATATGCAATGAAAACACAGCAGAGATGGAAAGTTGGTCAGTAACTTTTGAGAATTGAAGGTTAACATGAGTGCTCAGTCCTCTACACTCTCCTGAATCCCAGAGCAACATTCCTTCCCAGAGCCTGAACTCCCCTGCCCTAGGTTAGAACCCCCTCCTGCACCTCAACCTTCTCCCAGAGCCCACACACCAACCCCCAGCGTTGAGCCCCATACCCCTTGGACTCACTCCAGAGCTCCTTTCTGCACCCTGAAGCCATCATTTCTGAATATTTCGATTCACCTAATTCAAGTACCAGCTTTGCCCCTCACCTTGCCTGCTCCGTGCCACATGGGCTGGCGGTTAACCCTTTCCCCCACACGCCACCCCATCCTCCCAACAGACTCAGCACAGCTCAAGTCGAGGGTCTAATTTCCCCCACCTCCACCCCCTGAGGCGTCACAAAGGGGCACCCCAGCAGCGTCCGGAGCAGCTGCCAACCCATTGGTGCTGTTTCCTTTCTGGTTAGACTGCCTGTTCATGTGAGGGGGCAGGGTGTGTGTAGGGAGGAAGAGGGATAGGGTGTATGTGGGGATGGGCGGTGCAGTAATGGGGGATGGTGGGGTGAATGGGATATAGAAATGGAGACAAGAAGAGGGGCAGTGTGGGGGTGCGGAGGGGGAGGGATTAAGGAGGATGGGTAAGTGGGAATGGAGAGGGATGGAAGGAGGGGGATGGTCAGTGTGACTAGGGGGAGAGGTAAGGGAGGATGGTGGGTGTAGGAATGAAGGATGGGGGTGGGGAAGGGATGAAAGGAGACGGATGGGCTGTGGGCCATGGGCCATGGAGGTCCCCTCCCCACAGTAGTACACATGCTTCCCCACAAGCCAAATCCAGTGCGAAGCCTCGGGGTTTCCTCCTTTCCAAGCTCCTCTGCAGGAAGCCGGTGCTGGCACTGTAATCTTGCAGAGGGTGGGGGTGTTCAAGAGTGGAGCACCAGGCAGGCAGAGGCCAGAGCATACGCTAGACGGAGGAAACGGTTCCCTGCTGGGTCCCAGAGTGTCAGGGCCCTTAAGCACAGCGACGAGCTGCTGCCACCACTTCTGCTGCCCCAGCGGCCAGAGAGGGGCCGAGCGACTGGGGCTGCACGAGGAAGGAGGGTGGAGAGGTTGGGGGGCAGGAGGCCAGGTGGTGGATCCAAGAGGCCAAGGATGGCACAACTGCCAGCTCTGCCTTCCCCAGTGGGGGCTGGGGCAGCCTGAGAGTCCAGTGACCTGCCTACTGCCGGAGACGGAGGTTAGCGAGCGTAGTGAGCAGGGGACGCAGCGCCCTAATATTCTTTTAAATCAAGTAGTCCTGTGGCATTCAAACTGATGTTGGCTGGGAGTTTTTGCCTCTTTCACGATGTGCTGGGATCCACGGTTGCCTGGAAATGCGTGTGCATGCGCACGTGCGCACACACTCAGCAAGTGTCCTGGTTATGCAAGCTTGGTTGGACTCTGCTGGGCCCAGTGGTGGCATCAGTTTTTCAGGAGAAAATGAAATTTTGCTCAGAAAGTTAATTCTGCATGGAGCAGAATTCCCTCAGAAGTCACAGAGACAGTATTTTTAGGATTAACTCAGACAAGACAATTTGAGATCTTCCTCAGATGTAAGCGTATTAGATAGTGATGATGTAAATTGGCACTGCTTTACACCAGCTGATGATCTGGCCCAAGATGTTTCTCCCCTTTTGTCTCAGTAACTAACTGTGCAACGTTCTAACTGTCTGACAAGCTACACAGATGTAGAACAAAGAGCAGGACAGAATGTTCATTGGAGAAACAAATCCTATTGCACATCCACTCAATGCTGTTATGAATCTAATAGCAAACTTCAGAATCACAATTTAAGCCTGAAACACTCAAAGTTAATATTGGGTGAGTATTCTGGGTAAAAAACTCCTTAAAACTGTTTGCGTTTCTTTGCCAAATCTTTAAAAGTCAGTTTAGATGGAATAAAAAGTTTGAAAAAGCCAACTATAAATTCCTTCATAGAAAAAGCATAAAGTTGATTAAAAATTAAAGTACACGTTTCCCTGCACTGATCAGTCAGTCATCAGCTGCTGTGTGTTTATAATTCTTGTAATTTCCTTTCTGCTACTCTAGCTCAAGATGCCGGTTACTTTAATGCTGAGATGGCACTAGTTGAAGTGAAAACAAAGAAAGGGAAGCAGCCGATGGAACAGGATGAGCATCCTAGACCCCAAACCACCCTAGAACAGCTGGGAAAGCTCCCTCCTGTCTTCAAGAAAGATGGGACTGTCACTGCTGGAAATGCTTCGGTGAGCTCGTGGACTATTAAAAATTAGAATTTTTATCTGAGAAGGGTTCTATGTAGAATAGATGACAAGAGTTCTCCTAGGCTTTCTTCACCATACTTCTCATTAGCAGAGATACTGGACTACCAAGCGTGGCTTCTGCAAAAAAGAATTCTGATTCTGAAACTCAAATTGCCGTATATAGTTTGGGCCTGGGTGTCTTTGAAGGTTCCTATGTTGCGAGGGTGGCATGTTGACAGTTGTCTTCTCTATCCTAGAAATTCAGTGCAGTGAGTAACCACTGCAACCAGCATTATGCTTGTACCATCACCCTTAACAAGACATCCACATTTTCTCATCTGCCTTGAGCCAGTATTACTGTGGATTTCACTTTGCTCTGAGGCCATGTCTACATTACGTGGAAGATAGACATTGCCATGGTCGATCTTCTGGGGTTTCATTTAGCGAGTCCAGTGAAGACCCACTAATTCAAACCGAGAGGGCACCCCCATCAACACCGATACTCCGGCTCCTCACAAGGATAAGGGCAGCCTATGGGAGCTTTTGCTTCCGTCTACCTCCCTTTGTGCAGACAGTGATTTAAAATATGTCAACTCCAGCTACATAATTAATGCAGATGGAGTTGTGTATCTTAAGTCGACATTCCTTTTAGTGTAGACCAGGGCTGATAGTGTGGAACTAGCTGCTGTTCTCTTTTTTATGGACAATGAACATTTTAAATGTACTAGGAATTATGGGTTAGATCTCTGGCTTCAACTGAGCTGTGCTTTGTGGAGGAGCCTAATCATTGGGTCATCTGTGGGCCAAACCAAGTGCTGGTGTAACTTAGAGTAGCCTATAGGCTTGACAGCCATCTCTGAATGTTAAGTTTTATAGACTAGCAGTTTGTTTTGTTTTTAAGGCCAAAGAGACACATGCAATCAGGTAGTCTAGTCTCCTGCATAACAGACAGCACAGCTGGAAAACATAGTACAAGCATTTGTAAAGTAATGCGCATGCCTAACAGCCCAAGTTTCTGAAATAGATAGCAATGGGCAGAGAATCTATTTTATTTTCTTTAAGACACTGAATTCTATAAAAGTCATATGTCTAGTATCCAATTTCAAATGCTACAAAGTAAGAAAAGAATCTGACTAGACCAAATTGACCTTTAGGAATAGACTTGTGTATTAGATGTGTGTAATAAACAATTGCTGTCTAGTTCCTCTTACATGAGTATCTGTGACATAAAACAATTGCACAATTAGTACACTGGGAATGTATGTTTGTTTTTCTTTTGTATTGCAAGGGAGTATGTGATGGAGCAGGGGCACTTATCATTGCCAGTGAAGCAGCACTTAAAAAGCACAGCCTCACTCCTCTGGCTAGAATAGTATCCTATCACGTGTCTGGGTGTGACCCCAACATTATGGGCATTGGTAAGTTGCTGTAAAGCAAATCTCTTGGTAGCATGAAACAATATGAAAGTATCCTTGTGTTGTGTGTTTTGTGGGGGCCAAGTGTTGAGCCTGATGGCAATGGAGAAACAAGTTCCTTTTATAGAGGAGACTGCTGTCAAATCTATAACTGACTGCAGAGTGGCACAGGTGTCTTTGGCTTAAAGGTGACACCAGTCCACATATTGCAGTGTTGGGCCTTGAATATTAGGGGATAAGAGGAGCTCTCGGGGAAAAAATGGGATTCTCTTTTTGGAGCCCCAGCTCAAAAAAATGACACACAAAATATTTTAGTTAGGGATGGAATCGGTTAACCGGCAGCCCACCCGGGCTGGAGCAGCCCCTGCCCATTGCAGGTGGGGATCTGCTCCGGGGGCCACTGCACCACAGGTGGGGAGGGCACTCTAGCCTGGCTGAGCAGCTCCCTGCATGGTGGGCCCGGCCTGGCCATGGCCGTAGCTGCGATGTGTTAGGCCTGGCCCAAGCAGTCTCCTTGCCTGCAGGAGGGCAGGGGGT